AATACTTTAGGAGCTATGGCATCTTAAGTCATACAAATGTGCTAAATAATGGACTAACAGAACACCAACATCATTGCTGTACTACTAACAATTCGGACAAGGACAAATTAGTAAGCACAGCATGACTAATCTGCAAGAACAAACACACATTAGAACACGCAGACATGTTTAATAACTTAGTCACAGTTAATCATGTTAAGTTTAATAACCTGTCAATCTACTCTGAAGGTTAGCATATGCCTATGTATTGCAATGGGGTTTAGTGGCAAAAGTGAAAAGCACTGTTCAAAGTGAAGTTGGCAGTATTTGGATTTCTTTTTTTCCTTTTAATGATCCACATCACATTTCCTAATATAGCCCTGTTTATAGTGAAGATCATGTGAAGTTGACGGCTCTATTTTTTTTTTTTTTTTTTTTTTAAAAGACGTCTTTTTATAGCCTTTTTAAATATTCTGCACAAGGTCTATATTGCAATGAAGCGACAAAGGGCTCTCTTAAGTGTTTGTCTTAAATTTAATTTATGGTTGCATCTCATTTGACTGCTACGGTGTTCTGAATAACAATAAAAAAAATAAAAAAAAACACACAAACTACAGCACTGAAAAACTATCCTTCAGACTAAAATATCTACTGTAACATCAATACAACTTTATGTAGTATTTACCCAAAAGTCTCAGTGTTCATGTACCTGAGAAAAACTGAACAATCTCCTCCTTACTGCAGCCAAAGGGCAGGCCTCTAAGTCTCAGCATGCAGCCACTGCAGCTGTCATAGTCAGCAGGACCGCTACGCTTCAGCACCCAGTCCATCTCACTACGGTTCGACTTGAACACTGATTTGGACAGACAGAGACTCACAAACATCACATGCTGGTCATAAATTAAACTTAAACATGTTCATTACAGTTTTCTTAAAGGCTTCATATGCAAATGAGGAACCCAATATAACTGAATAACTGCTGCTTTATGAACCATTAATGATACAAAGAAAAAGAAAAAAAAAACCTTTATGCACCAGACGCGTAAAATGTAACTATTTCTTGCATTAAAAATATTCTTCTGACTCACCTTTTCTTAACACAGCAGTTCACACTGACCGCATAATTTCAGTTGATGAATTTGGGGCATTTGCTTTTATTTTGAACCAAGCTCGATTTTATGGATCTGAATAAACAGATGTAACCAATCAGATCACTGTATCTGGCAGCAAGTGTACCTGTAACTCAGATTGCACACTGGGACTGAATACACAATGAGATAGAAATGGTAAAATAATACCATTTTACCTCAGACGCAGAGCTAAACGGTGACGCCTCTCTAGAATGATTGATACCTCCTTATGTGTTGCCAACTCTGCTAATAATAGTTCAAATCGCCCCACTGACATTGTGAAATGTGTACAAAAGCAGCGTGATACAGCTTTAACTCCTGGATCACATTGCAAAATTCAACGTGTTCAGTGTGTAGGGTCCTTAACATTCAAATCTGTTGCTCAGTTTTAACCAGTTTGCTTACCTTCTATATATCGGTGCCCCATGTATTTACGGTCCTTCGCAAGAGCATTCTTGAAATCTTCTGCTGTTTTCAGCTCAATAAATGCCTCTCCACTCGGACGGCCTTCTTTTGAGTATGTGAAACACACTCCATTTACTTTTCCCGCGATGTCACAGTCTAAACATAAGAGAGATTGCGTCAAGTTTTTAAACTGATGTCTTCTGCTAGAGAAGAGGTAATGGTAAGGAACCATTGCAAAAAAAAAAAAAAAAAAATTAAACATCCAAGTTCAGGCATTCAAGATAAGTTTGGATAAGTAATAAACAACCTTTACATTATTGTCCTAAAAATCATCTTGTAAGCTTGGATGTTTTATCCAATTCTTTGGTCATAATTTCCATTTTTCTTGATACCCTTGGCTCTTTGATATTGCTACTGAAATTTGAATAGTGTGGCATATAACAAAAACAGATGTGCTACAAAAGACTTGTGCATGCAAACTTAAATGCCATGCTAAGTGATTTAACTAGTCTAGTGACAATTTCAACACTAACAGCTAAGGTCTTGTCTGAGGATGTAAAGACGTCTGTTTCCTCACCAGAAAAGAAACTGGCCACCTCCTCCTGTGTGCAGGACCAGGGAAGTCCTCTGATCCGAACCACGTACCCCTCGTCATTCAAAGACATCCTCACTGTCACAGACGGCACAACACAGCAGAAAGACATTTGTGTCAGCAACACTTGCTTAGTTATGAATTCTTAAGTTTAATAATCCATTTATTACAAAATTGATATTTTGCATTGAAGCTGACTCCACAGTGTTATGATTAACATTCATTTGCCAAAAAAAAAAAAAAAGGTACTGGCTCTATTCCAGTCGGATGCGTCAGTAAGGGTGTATAGTTTTCCAGTTCGAAACAGTCGTCCCCCCAAAAAAAAAAAAAAAAAAAAGGGGGACACTACCTGCTGTGGCTACTCCTTGTGGCAAGAAAGCAGCTCATATTAGCATTGAAGATGAGTAGATATTCATTTCCATGTGTTGTCATTTGTTGTTCTTAGAAAATAGGGATCGGCAGGTCAGACTTCAAAAACAAATCTGAATCGGCCGAGAAAAATCATATTTAGTGTATCTCTAAACATTATGCTTCTAGTCTTGCTGACCAACAAGCGTGGGTCACTATGTGGAGTCCTGTGCCAGATCTATATAAAGGACCAAAAGTATTCTGGTCATTTGCTCTGGGGGTACTGGACACTGAACAAACTTTAAAAAAAAGTTTATTGCATTTATTGTTATGAATTACTATTTGCTATTACTATTTTTCTTTTCATTCTGGTGTGCATTTTAATAATGTGTGCATTCACTGTTAATGATAATGAAATGGAAAATTTTTAATGCTTCTGGCTTGCAAACAGTACTTGACCATTCATCTTCTCCTGCTTCTCTGGGGCCAGATCGTGAGGTCAGCAGCCTAAGCAGAGAAACCCAGACCTCCCTCTCCCCAGGCACCTCCTATAGCTCATTCAGGAGAACACCAAGGCACTCCAAAGTGTCCTGGGAATACCTAGGGCTTTCTTCCAGTAGGACATGCCCAGAACACCTCGCCCAGGAGGCATCCAAATCAGATGCCTGAGATATTCAAACTAGCTCCTTTCAATGTGCAGGAGTAGTGGCTCTACTCTGAATGCCTGTGGCTTGGCTGAACTCCTCAACCCATCTTAAAAAGAGAGAGGCTAGCGACCCTTAGGAGAAAACTAATTTCCGCCATTTGTATCTGTGATCTCATTCTTTCAGCCACAACCCAGAGCTCATAACCATAGGTGAGGGTAAGGACGTATATCAATCGGTAAATTGACAGCTTTTCTTTCACGTTCAGGTCTCTCTGTATCACAAAAATCCGGTTCGGCATCTGCATCACTGCAAAAAAAAAAAAAAAAAAAAGCCTCAGCCCGACATCCAATCCCTTTCTGCCCTCACTTGTGAGTAAGATCCTGAGATAGCCAACATCCCCCGTGTGTGCTTTACACACAAAATGAATTTTAAAAAGAATTTAAAAACAAAGTTAGGCTGCACTAACAATCCCTCATTGTTAAGTGTGGGCATGATGGCCTCAATTTTAATCTGGTAAATAAAAGCTGAAGGAATAATTAATTTAAAGGAATTTGGCTTATTAAACATAAATAAGATCACTCGAGTTGTTGCCGAATCTTCCCCTTCAATCCTATTTTTGTCAACCGATTTGCAAGAGCAACAGGTTTGGCAAAAGTTAACACTGAGATTAAATGTTTACTGGTGCATCTATCCGGATAGTTTGCATTCAGCTCATATTTTAACATTTGCGGGTATGTCGACGCAGTGACAGACTAGACTCTTTTTTTACTTTTAAATTCAGATTAAACCGACAACAAACCTCGCCGGAACTGTACAATAAAACAAAGTAAATAACTATTAGTAACATATGACACAAAAGCTTTCAAAGAACATATCTAATAACGACTTTCTGTATCTTTGCAGCGGCCAGAACAGCTTAAATAGCTATGGTCTGATACTTCCTCCTTCCAGCTGTGTTGTGCTAAAAATTCGAGAGCCGCGCTAGCTAACCTAGTCGGAGTTCAACTTATACCCAACTTGATCCTTTAAACGCAAGACGGCATCTTAATAAAAAGTTCTCCAAATCTGAGTATCCATCAGTCTAATATTCATACTAGTTATATGTTTCTCGTAAGCCAGACTTACGCGAAAACGTTAGCTCGGCAACATTAGCATTTAGCAGACTAGCCGCTAAGGCTAACTGTAGGACACAGACAGCGGTCAAACGTACAGGACAAACGAATTCTCGTTTTAACGGTCCTGCGTCTTCACTGGATGTCAAAACACAACTCCATAAAGAAACACATCCACAGTTAGCAATGAGTGAACCGGTAAAATTATCTCACCGCTTCCTCTTATCCCCGGTCTCCTGCTCCTGCCCCGTGCCTCAGGTGACACTGCCAGCAAACTTGCACAGGTATGTTCTCGCGAGATTTCGGTTTATAAACGTTGATTCATTCTAGCGTCTTTTTTTTCTGTTACTAGTCCGTGTTTTCCAAATTGCTTATTGATATGACGCTTGTGTTTACGACTCCAAAGAGAGCTGGTATCTGGGACATGTAATAAAAATACAAATTTACCAAATATTCAGCGTGCCCGTTATTGTAAACTCAAAATCTAGATTATGCGTTTAAGACTAAACTATCGTCAGGGTAGTCGGATTTTTTGTGTGTCTATAATCATAAATTAATCACTCTCTCAAAATATTGTAAGACTAGTCATGCATATTCTGGATATCTATACAATACAAAACAGTATTTATCGCATTAAAAATGTTATTTTTAGATTGTCAAATAACCACAGTTAAGTGACTATCTTAAGGGGTAAAGTTTGTAGTCTTAAACACATACTCATTCTACTACAGTCGCAAACCGGTTATGCCTAAATGTGACTAAAACAAGTGGAAAATAGGATAGGCTGCAAGGAGAGAGAAAAAACACATGCAGAGGGAGGGTCAAAAGTCCATCCACAGCACTGCGTGTGGACCCTTTCCATCAAAATCCGTGCTGAAGGACGGAGGCTCTTAACTTCCAAGCCGTTTTCGTCTTCTTTCGCTCACCTACAATGGAGATACCAGTGTTCACGCTGGATGCCTTCACCAATTTACCGTTCAGGGGAAACCCAGCGGCAGTTTGTCCACTTCAGCGTGTGAGTAAGAATATTTAGGTCAAAGCTTAATGTTTAGTCCTGCGCTATGGCGGCCTGCATCGGTGCTTCGCACAAGTGCAGACCAGAAACAGAAATTCTTTCTGCAAAACAAACTCGACAAGATGTGTTTTTAAAAGTATTTTAACTTAAACAATCTTTTGTAAATTCAACTATGAAAATGAAAGTGGTTTGTTGCGTTCCCCTGAAAACTGTGCTATCACACAAGAACTGAATAAGACACATCAGGCTGCTGCTTCCAATTAACTTATTTAATGTTTATTCATTTTCAGTGAGCAAACTTCCTCTGTTTGTCTACCAGAAGCTTACAATCATTAGCTGGTCAAAGCAGCTCAGGACACTATCATTTGCTCGTTAAATCGTGTGTTTCTAACAGGAGCTGAGTGATGACTTGTATCACAAGATAGCAGCAGAGATGAACCTCTCAGAAACTGCTTTCATCACCAGGACGAATCCCTCTGATAGCTTTACTACAGGTATGTCTGTTTTAATACAGATCACTTTTGCCTTGCCAATTCCAAAGCCTCTTAGATTGTATTGCTGTAATGGAAAGCTCTCTTTCAAAAGTGTACAGTATGGTGTACGGCTCACATGCTGCTTAAACTTTAAAGTAGCCCCTATAGGTGCAGGATAGAAATTTTCAATATAGATTAACAAGTTTGTATGAATTTATAGTCATAAGAATGATGATAATAATAAAGCTTATGTATATAATCGTTGCAAAATGGTTTACAGAAAAAAAAACCAGACTGAAATAAAACAAAAAATAAAAACACAACACAAAACTTGAATAATATGACAAGTGAAATAAATGAGTCAAGGAAATTGTATGATAGGAAAAAAAGGAGTCACTATTTAAAAAAAAAAAAAAAGTTGTGAGGAGTGGTGAAGAATTTGCACAGCTGTGAGGGTCTAAGAGAAAATGCCAGATCTCTTTTTGTAAAGATGTGAGCAGCAGGAACAGTTAGGAAGGTCTGAATCAAGGCCGTGGCTCTGTTAACCAGGTGAGTGAAGTCATGTAAGGCTGTTCAAACAATAAAGCAAAGTTTAAACTCAATTCTATATTGAATAAGTCTAATGTAGTGGGAGTAATGTGATCTTGGCTCTTCTCGTCTCAGGCAGCTAAAGTTTGAACAAGGCAGATAAGGGCAGGGACTTTTGGCTGAGCCTTCCATAGAGGGAATTAAAATAGTCTAAATGTGATGAAGAAAAAAGCCTGGATCAGTCTGCCTGAGATTACAAAAAAAGTGAAAAAAGTTTATCTGTAAAAAGGACAAATCTACTCAATGAAAGCAAACTGCCCCCCCTGAGATAGCTGGTATTAGGATGAAAATTTAGCAAGAAGTTCAGCTTCCAGGTTACTATTGAGGACATAAATATCTGCTAGTGACCATAGGAAGATGTGACACTGTCACACAATTAAAACTTTGAAGTTTTGCCACAGAGAACAGACATTTAAGGATCAAAATACAGTTAAATTAGAGAAAAATATATTCAAATCACCACAAAGTCTATTTCATGGCACTTTGTACCTATTAGGAAATGTCAATTACAAATTTTGGATTGCATAAGAGCGTCACAAAAGGTTAGCCTTCAGCAAAATCAAACTAGTGCCATTAGGCAGAATTAAGGACCCACAACCATTAGCAGGAGCTCATTATTCTTCCAAGTTAGGTTTATCTGTTCATTAGCTTATGTTTAGTGTTCCTTTGCAGTTAAACACACACAGAGCATTTCACTCACTGCGTGCACAAACTGAAAAATACCTGTCCTCAGCAGTCTGTCAGGTAACAATGTTACATTGTATGGAGTCCAAAGAATTGTGCAACAAGCTGTCACAGTGAAAAACTGCAGTGTGCAGTTTGTCCAAGAGGAATGCAGGTATTATTTACAAAGAGGAAGCAGGAACAGATACAATAAGTTTTACTTCAGACTTAAAAATGTGACTTTTGAAAAATACTCTAAATTATATTTGCTGAGAAAGGAGAGAAAAACAACTGGTTAGAGGGAATTACAAAAGTCCAAATGTAATAAGATGAAAGCATATATGACTTTTTAAAGTGCGCCTGTTATTTAAATTAAATAAGTAAAAAGTGAACCCAAACCATGGCAGTAAGGGTTCAGTATTCTTGTAATTTGCCAAAAATATCATCTGACATTTGCAGTTCTCTGCTGACACACAGATGTTTTCTAGAGCCATCTCCCACATTTTTTCTCATCTCCCACAATTTAATTACTTCCAGCTATGAGCAGATTCTCTATGTCCCCTTTTGACTCCACTGACAGAGTCCAACACCACAAGCATGCTCAAAAATGAATAATCACAGCATGCTGTATGTTTGCTTTTAGTTTACTTTGCTACTTTTTCAGTGTGAAAACTACAAAAAAGAAATACTCGGAGCACAAACCTCAGCTTAGACTGCTCACTCTCTGGGCAGTATTTAATTTAATAGCATTGTATTTTGTATATATCCCTTTATAATTGGTATTGATTTGGAAATAAATGGACATTAATAAGCTTTTTATATATTATACTATTGACATTGAAGAAAAGGTCAATGTTCTAAGAAATGTGGCATTTATAAACCTCATGTATCTTTCCCTATATGCCTGCATGTTGACAGTTCAATGGCAGTAAGAAACAGTTTTAAGTAGCTCTATATAGCATTATTATAATGTTTAGATGTCTTGACCTTGAAGGGGAGGTCATAGGTCAAATGTGACATGTTTTAAATCTTTACAGTACTTTTATATACGTTGACAACACACCACACTTTTAAGAATGATGGTTACTAAATTATAAGTCTTTTAGTCAATCTTTAACCAATAAATCATTAAGTTGACCTTGAAGACCTTTGTGGACGTAAGCCAATTACCAACATCATTATCTGCACTGCCTAACTTTGTGTATTTGAAACTAAAACCAAAACAAAATTGAAAAAAAAGTCTTAAATGTGTGATTAACAGGATCAAGGTTCCGCCTTCGATGGTTTACACCAACCACTGAAGTCAATCTGTGTGGTCATGCCACTCTGGCCTCTGCAGCAGTGCTGTTCCAATACAACAGTAAGATGCAACATTTACACATGAAAATGTTTTTCCAAAAAAGAAAAAGTGACACCAAAAGGCTGCTGGAGCGATTTTTTTTTTTTTTTAAGAGATGCCTGTACCGCACAATGCAGCTGACTGCAAAAAGGAGCAAAGAGGTGCCAGCATATAACCATGTAATGGATGTTTTCTTTCAGAAAATGTAAACCCCACCCTGGTGTTTGAGACCAAGAGTGGAGATCTGTGCGTCACCCAGAAGGAGGAAGGGTACATCATGGACTTTCCTCTGAACCCCCCCACACGACAGGTAAAATAAACTTTTCTCTTTAGTTACATAAACACTTTCATCAAATCCTGTAATGTCAAAAATAAATAAATAAAACGATTCTTTTGTTTTATTAACAGTGTATGTAAAATGGCTTTCTTTCTGAACTCCTTTTATTTCAGGATCCCAACGACTTCAAAGATACCATCAAGGTCAGAAATCACATTTTTGTGAACAGTTTGTGAAAGTGTAGCTACATTCCTGTGTGTGTGTGTGTGTGTGTGTGTGTGTGTGTGTGTGTGTGTGTGTGTGTGTGTGTGTGTGTTCAGCTAAGTCTCTGCCTTTACATGTGTGACACAGGCGGCAGTGGGAAACCTCCCGGTTCAGGAAGTGTATCTGTCCAACAACACCAAGAAGCTGCTGATTCGACTGGCTGACAGCTGTGACACGTTAGTAAAAAAAAAAAAAAAACTTTGCTTGTTGCCAAATTGAAAGGAATCTGAATCATGGTCCTGTTGTTCATGAAGTCTCAAACATTTGTATTTCTCAGGCTTCCAGGTAGTGGGGCTTATTCATATGTTTGAAGGCCAAACAAATAATCAAGCAACTCGCCTTCTACACCCACTCATCACATTTTTGTAAATGTGTATGTGCTTTTTGTGTGTTTTCTCCAGCTCCGTGCTTACCCATCTGAAAGTTGACAGTGTGGCTCTTCAGAATAGTGAGAGAAGTGGAAGAGTCAGAGCCGTCGTCGTCACTATGAAAGGTAATCGGAGCTGTGTAGAGTTGTATACTTGTTGGATCAGACCACATGTAGCAATTCCATTAAATTGAAGACTTAACAGTCAATGCTTCCCTTTAAGAATAAACCAAAGAAAACCCAACATGAAGTGTTTAAGTGAGGTGTTGTCCCACCATGTACCATCAGAAAAGCTTCAATGCATTTTCTCTCTCATTTTAATTTGTATAACAAAATTCACTGAATGTTTCTGCCAACAAATATTAAATATCAAATGCTGCTAAAATGTGGAAACAGGATCACCGGATTGCCAGCCGGGATATGACTTTTACTCCAGAAACTTTGCTCCGTGGGTTGGCATCCCTGAGGATCCTGTCACTGGTAAGATGATTGCCCTTCACTAATATGTAATCTATAGTTATTATTCATCAAATAACATAATTCTGAACATTTGTGTCTAAAAACATTTACATATAAGCAGCTGGACTAAAGTGGATGCATTTACAGGTGTCTTATTAATGCATTTTGAGAGAAAGTGTTAACCTATTCCTGCTTATGTGCTTTGGCAGGATCTGCCCACACAGTCCTAGGCAGCTACTGGTCTGACGAACTAGGAAAGAAGAAATTGCTGGGTACGTATTACTAATGTGTCATTTATCTGATAACTGATGTTGTGTTCCACTTTTATCCATTATCAATCGGCTTACTGTGCCTGTGCAGCTTACCAGTGCTCTAGTCGTGGCGGCGAGTTGGAACTTGAAGTGAGAGATGATGGAAGAATCAACATAGCTGGACAGACCATCACTATTCTGCAGGGAACAATCAAACTATAGGCTGAGACACATCCGAGAAGACAGTGACTGATGTGCTATCACAGCTGTCGTGTTCCTGCAGATACACTTTATGGCTCTTGAATAAAAATGAGAAGGTTCAAATAAAATAAAAAAAAATAAAAAAACCATTTAAGTCCTGACTGATCAATCCTGAAATGATTTAGCTGACAAACATACTGTAGGCTTTGTTAGGATTTCTATCATTTATTCATAACATTACAGCAAAAAAATTACAACCAAAAGATTTTAAAATGGGAAAAACAGAAACGCAAGAACAAAGCAGGTAAAAATCAGAAGAGTCACAGTTAGCCTTGTGGTTGGGAGAATTTTTCACATTTGCTGCTTAATAATGAATGGGGTTCAATAAAGTTAAGTACAGCTGATATGGATTAAACTGATAAAATTGATACTGTGCAGATTCGTTTTGATCCTAAATACATAATAATACTAATAATACATATTCCTGAAACTAAAAGTCATCAAGATATGTTTTTTTTGTATAATCTGTTCCTGCACAGATGTAGTTCTGCCGATCTGACTCATACAGGTTTTTACTGAGAAAACAATTGAATAAACGTAGTTTTTCTAGCTGCAGACAAGTGTAGTGACTCCCACTGATATAGTTAAGTTATTTTAAAGTTAACATTTCTGGTTAAATACTATAACTATCATAGGAAACGGGGAATGATACTATACCTCTAAAAGGTAGAGCTGGAGGATGTTACCTTTTGTCACATACAGACGACGATGGATATGGCTTTCTAGTTTGTTTTATGCTAAAGACCGAGATAGTTTCACACTGACAGACATGTATGAGCTTATCTGGCCATGAAAGCTGTCCCCACCCTTTCACAGCAGGAAGTTTTCTATGCTTTAAGTACCAAAAGTCCTCAGTGTTGAGATTGAGGTATCTGATAAAGTATTTGAACATTCTGACAAAACCGAGGTTTATGCATCATATTTTAAACAATCATAGTGTCACGCCAACATATTTTAACTGTAAGACCAACTTAAAGATTCAGTACAATTATGTATGCAGCCCTTTCAGCTGGTCCCTGTCTCAGTACCTTGTTTCATAACACTCACAATAACGGAAACCTTTAAAACTGCGGTGCTTTAAGAGTGTCGAATTAAAAACTGGCCACCTGGCCATCTATTGATCTACAAAAATATACAAGAAAAGATTCAGAATTTCACACAAACAGGAAAATCAACATTGTCAGTAGCACTCATAACATTGTTTGTTTAGTTGAGGTGTTATTTCTAATACTGCAGACCGTTTGATCTTCAGGAGACTTCAAGTATTCGGTTTTAAAAAGAGACATTCTGCCTCTTCTAGGTCATTTAGATCTCTGCACAGTTGAGGTGAATGATAACCGTGTGCTACTCCACTGAGACATACACACGAGCTGATACACCTTCATGGCCTCTTAGGCTTCTCTCACAGATCCATGCTGGGTAAGGCCTTGTGGGCAGCTGATGGGAGCTGGATAATGTGAAGTAAGAGTTTAGGAAAAGAGACAGAAGTCAAAGAGAAACTGTGGGAACATTGGTGACCCGCTGTTAAACACAAATCACTAGAATTATTTACAACAGTGTTCAGATTAAAGTCCAATTTCTACTGAAAATAAAGGAAGGTTTAGTGGTAGAACCAAAACCAATTTTAAAGGATATCATGTTCTCTTGTTGAAGATGGTTGAGAAGTTTCTCCACTGGTGTGTAGCGTCGTAGCGTTGTGGCTGAGCCCACCATCAGCAGCTTGTGTTTGGCGCGGGTAATGGCTACATTCAGGCGACGCCAGTCCTTTAACAACTCTCCTAACTTTAAATAGACACGGAAGAAAGACTCTGGTCGGGTTTCTATTCACTCACTTACATGAGGGAAAAAAAGGCGATGAAAAGAGAAGTACTTACGTTTCCTTCCTCTGCCGTGCTCCTGACAAAAGAAAGAATAATCAGACTTTTGTCCCGTCCTTGGTATCTATCCACTGTGTTCACCTCCACACCAGTGAATGCAGGCGACTGCAGCAGAGCCAGAATTGTCTTTAACTGCTGCCTGTAGGGGGCGATAACACCAATATCACTGGGCTTACACCCTGCCTGAAAACACAAAGAATAAACACAGATTAAAATGAGTACCAGCTACCAATAATTGATAGAACTTTTAAACTTTCCATTATTAATTATGGTGATTATATTAAAATAGGTAATTCATTATGTCTTAAGTAGCTCATAAACTTGGAAACTGGTGTACTTTTATGAGAAGTGAAAGCAGAGTGTGTATGAGAGCAGCTTCGGTGTGATTGCTTATTCCTCCTTGTTCCACTGATTCTAGTGCAGGCACCTGAAATGAACCAGTAGAGATGAAAAAAAATCAAACATCTTTCCACACACACACCAGGTCTGTCAGACGTGATTAAACGAAACCAACTTAATTTAAAAAAAAGGGTCTCAACACAATAACCCAATCTTATTTTAATTACTTTTTTTCCAGTCAGTGTACCTGCTTTATTTTATGTTTACAACCTCAACACATTTCAAATTATAAAATGTTTGAAGTGTACGCTTTACTGTACTAACCATCGAGCAGTCCAGGAAGCAAACAGGATTGCTCGGCAACAGCGTAGACTGTATCCACGACAGGGCATGCTGGGGATGAGCCTCAGAGTACGAACTCAGCTCAGACTGGACAGACAGCAGGAAGGGCAGGGTGAGCAGCGCTGCGGCCGTCCTCTCTGAGCCACACTCCAGCCGGCCTTCGTACATCAGAGAGTTACTGAGAGACATGATCTGCCTAAAAAGATAAGAGACACACACAGATGTCATGGTCTGGATATACCTGTGGCTGTCACGAAGATTATAATCAACAAAAAACAAAACTTGTCAAAACAAACAAAAACCAGCCAAACAAAAACAGGAAGGCAAATGATTTTGTGAACTTGGAAAGGGAGGAAAAATCCTTAGGTGTGGTGTGTGTTATGGTAAAAATAAGGTCTTACATCTTGCCTGATGTGGCATTAATGGATGTGTTTATTGAGACTGAGTCACTGCTTTCTAATAATTCAGTTATACAATTCATTTATTGAAATATCTGTGTTGATTTTTCCTAAATTAATAATAAACTAATAACTATAAACTAATAATACCTAAACCAATAAAAACTCAACTGAACATTTTCAAATAATAAAAACACTGGCGATCAATTTCAAAATCTTGTCACCTTATTCTTAAGTTAACACATCCACAAACCTGGGTGTCCACACAACACCCCATCAGTATTTTACAGCTGAGGGGTGGCAATAATTAGCTAATGAATCATGCTGACTCATTAATAAAATCCAGCTGGATTATTTATTGTACGTGACCGATTATCACTTAGTGACATGGAAACAAACAAAGAAAAAAGAGCAGCGTGGGTTTAAAGGCTCTGCTTAGATTTCAGAAGACCAGATTAACAAATCATGCAGTGTTATCCTGGATGTAGATTACCTGTTCATTCGATACTGTACGTTGAGTTGTACCACTGCTTCACTATGCAGCTCTAGTCGCTTAAATAAACTCTCATCCATCCCAAGTGACCTAAAGGACCAAAAAAAACCCCCAAATAAATAAAACATTCTCACTCAACTCGACAGATTCCCTAAATGCTGAATCTTCTCTGAGCAGTGACCCTGTAAATGAGCTGTATGTTACTATGGAAACAGATATTTGACCTGGCTTCATGGTTTTGCACTATTGGTGGGAGCTGTTGATGGTCTCCAACAAGGACAAATCTCTTGGCGTAGAACAAAGGTCCTAGGCAGATAGGCTGGCTGATCTGTGACGCCTCATCCACAATGCAGAAATCAAAGCGGCGTCGAGTAAAAATAGGATGCTTGATGCCCATACAAGTAGTTGCCACTATCAGCTGGAAAGACAGAAGAACAGCAAGGCTTGGCTAACCATACGGCAAAAAACACAAAACAAAAAAACAAGTCTGAAAGGATAATGCAATGATGATGGCAGTTTATTTAAAATCAGTGAATGTTGCATTTGTTTCCAAAAACTAACTCCTCACTTCTTTGTTATAAAGCTGTTCCAGGTCTGAAAGAGTGTGAACCCCCTTCTTCCTCACACTTTCTTCTGTGTATGGCAGGATGTCTGGATGAACCTGCAGAGAACCAAAAAATAAACCAGTTTTATTACTACATAAAGTTATTAAATGTTATCGACATTAAGTTTTAGTGCAAATATGAGAAACTGAATCAACTTTATTTAACAGCACAAATCAGTACAAATAGAAAGTTCATTGCAGTATAAACAAAATGTGGACATTAACACTGTCAAAGATATCACACCTTCTGTCCCTGACCCAGACGCAGAAAACCAACTCTGAAACGTTTAAGCTTCAGAAGGATGTTATCAACAGCAGAGTGGGTGTAGCTGGTCAGCAACACACTAAAACCACAAGCATGCAGGATACGAACCTAAGAAGAAAAGTGAGGAGGACACAAGGACCAAGGTCACAGTTGGTGTTACAGCACACACAAAACGTTGATTTATGGTTAAAATAAGTTAATAGTGGTGGTTACCAGGGTGCAGATGGTTGTGGTTTTGCCTGTGCCTGGCATGCCGACTACCAGTGTGTAGTCTTTAGATAACAACACCTTCTTCATGGCCTGTTTCTGGGGTTTGTTGAGACCTACACAGTAACACAAATTCATTAGTTTTTCAGAGCTTCAAATACTTATGTATGAAACTGAAATTTGAACACCTGTGCAGAGCTGCTAACAATGTGCTTATAAAAACACATTTTTTGAATCCGCTTATTAATAAAATTCTATGTATATGTTTTGATCTACGTCATAGTAGCAAAATGTAAACCAAAACTGAAACTTTAAAAAGGATAAAACAAATAAAAAGCAACATGAGTGATGAGTTACCTTTGAGGATGTCAGCCACGGTGTCCTTAGCCTCCTTGGGCAAAACAGAGCTGAGGTTGGAGATGAACTCTGGAGCTTGAAGGTCGACGACCAACTTCCTCAGACGATCACTGCACACAGTAAAAAAATTCTCATCCATACAAGAAATACCAAGCGTAAAATGTGTGAAATCATTTGTATTAAGTCACCTAAATGTTGTACAATCAT